TATATATATCTTATTTTTAAAATTCTGTAAATAGACTTTTTAAATCAATAATTCTACGTTTTATTAAAATTATATTATTTTGGGTAGCGTGGTAGTTGCTTGTATAACTTTAATCTCAGTTCCCATGCACTTTGTAAATATGTTTTGCGGTGGGAATCAAACATTTTGCCCACAGTCATGTTCTCAATGTACAATGTATAAATTTATCTAAAAGTAAATGTCGTTTGAATCTGCCTGAAACGATTTCCATGAAAATTTAAAGCCATTCTAATTCTATTTTTAGGTTTTGAGAGTTTTCTTCTGTTGCATTAATTGAAGGTGCATAGTATTTTCTTTAACATTTTCATTACAAAGTTTACATGTACCTTAATTTTCCGACGACCATAATTGTTTTCTGCCTTCAAGGTTTAATGAGTTGGAGCGTTCTTTAAATTTTAGGCAACTTCTTTAAAATATTTGTTATCAAGAAGATACGGTTCGAGTTCTGGTTTGTCTTTGTATATTGTATAATGTATCAAAGGTGATTTGGATTGTGCTCTCTTTTGCCATTCATTATTATCGTTCTTTCTGTTTTGATATTTAAATTTACACATCCAATTATTAGATGGTGCTGTATAATATTTTTCCATGTTACACTTATATAGAATTTCTTTATTTTATTAAGCCATCCCTATTTTAATTTACTTTCCACAAATTTTATTGCATTATAAAGAGTTTTTGGACATCTAATCATCCATGTTCCTCAAGCGATTAATTAAAGGGTGTTTTATCTGTCGATTCCACAGTATAGTGCTTCTTTAGCAACGTTTTGTGGTGCCTTAACGCATAGTTTATTGTAGGAATTCCAATAGATTTCCAAAGTAGATCCCCATATATTCTATTAAAATCGTCTTGTTCATTTATAATTGATTTAATGCAAGCGATTATATCAGGTTGCCTTTTCTGACAACTTCTTCAATGTGGGGATTATCAGATAGCACTACTTAATGTATATTATAAAAATGGGGATTACAAATTAAAGGATAATAAAGTGAAGAACTTAATTAACTTAGCAACTACTCACGTAACATCAATCGTCTCCAATTCTCGATTATAAACTTAATATTGCGGTTTGTTTAATGCCATTTTAAGCCGCTGTCTTACTTCATTACTTTAAAGGCTTGTTTGATTTATTTTATTTGTTTATTTATTTTTAAAATTCTTTTTATTTATTTAAAAGTAGTCAGTGGAGAATCTAAAAACAGGATTGAAAACCATGATTTCATTATCTGTATTCAGGTGTACGCCAAAGAAGTCCATGTTCATCCTTCCGGACGAGGCAAACCCATAAACCATACCATATCGATTAGACGTGGCCCTGGATTTTCCTCCAGCATAAACCTTGAGAACTTAAAAATTAAAATACTCCATCCAACTAATAAAACTTAACTTTCGATGACGGCAGTAGCCTACCCAATCTCCCTTGAGTGGAGGCAGCAGGCATAACGCTTGAGTCGGGGCCAAGGGCTCCGTGGCTTTCTGAGACCTAAAGGCAGGCTCAGGTCGACACGGAACTCAACTCAACTCAACTCAACTGGTCGACATGAGCGCTCCGCGCAACTGAAAGGAACTGAACGCAACTGAAAGGAACTGAACTCAACTGAACGGAACTGACCGCAACTGACCGCAACTGAAAGGAACTGACAGTTGCGCATATTTGTCGACATGAGTCGAGTTGAGTTCAGTTGAGTTGAGTTCCTTTCAGTTGCCCATGTTCAACTTTTTGTGGAACTGAAAGGAACTGAAAAAAGCGCGAAAAGATGCTGATTCGGAACTCAAAGGAACTGAAAACGTTGATCCTGTATTATATTATATTACAATGTTTTGTTAATGGCAGATTACTTTATTCTTTGTTTTTAAAATATAGGCCATAGGCCAGGCTTTTATTCTAAAGGAATACCGTACGTTCGTATTTATATATATACTGTGGTATTACAATAAAAATATTAAAACAACACAGAGGGGAATTTTATCTATGGCTAAATATGGCAATCTAGAACAATTACTGTAGTATTGAACATAGTAGTAGTAGCCTAGAACTATTTTTCCGCGCGCGCCTCTACTATAGAGACCTATTTTCAAAATCAAAATATTCTATTCAATGCCGCCTGCTGCTAGCCTAGGAGAGCCTATTCTTCCAAAATGGCCGATGTTGACGAAGGCAATGATTTTGACGGCAATTTGATTCAACTATGGAAAGATCGCCCATGTCTATATGACGCCAGTTCTAAGTCATATAGTGACAGAACAAAAAAACGACAGGCTTAGAAGTTTTGGGGAAAACCAGTAAGTAATGCAATCGAGTAAATTTAACTTACGGTTGTTGACGTGTCTAGACTCGCCCACAATTTTGCAGCGTCTTCTAATCTTAGGCTCTCTAATCATATTCTTAGGCCTAGTCTAGGCCTAGCTTTCGTTTTTTTTTTTTTTTAATTTTGTATTAGTCACGTGCCAC